TCTTTGTTCTGTAAAAAGTGAGGAAAAGTTAGTTTAGATTTCAAGAACTAAACTAGATTTCAAACATGCAATGTATGGTTACCACTTTATGAAACACTGCATAGTCTGAGATGCGTTGCACTCTGCCCACTATATGAAACACAGTGTACTGTATAAATGTAATCCATGGATCATCACTGATGGAACAAATATGAAATGTCACTTTTCTAAGAAAGATAAAAATGTTTTAAGGCTGTATCATTTCAGTTCTGTTTGATAATCTTACTACCAATTTCAATATATTGTTATCAACTATTCACTTGAAAGTTATTACAACTGTCTTGATATAGGACAATAGGTAGCCATTTGATTGCATTGGATTATCTTAGGTCTAGATTTGGATTTTGAGATTGGGATGAGAGGTTTGGATTTAATTGATACTTTATTCTCTGCAGGTCCTTTTAAGCTATGGAACATATACAAATCTGGAGCTTCTTGAGCACTATGGCTTTCTCTTAAATGAAAATCCAAATGACAAAGTTTTTATTCCCTTGGAACCTGAAATATATTCGTCCTGTTCGTGGCCAAAGGAGTCATTATTCATCCATCAGAATGGGAAGCCATCTTTTGCGCTACTGTCTACTTTGCGATTATGGGCAACCCCACAGAACCAGCGGAGGTCTGTTGGACACCTTGTTTATTCAGGACTCCAGCTCTCAATTCAAAATGAGATGTTTATCTTGAGATGGATTTCAAAGAAGTGCACTACCATTTTGAAGAATCTGCCAACATCTTTTGAAGATGATAGTTTGTTATTAAGTGCCATTGACAAAATCCAAAATCTTGATGCCCCTTTGGAGCTCAACAATGTGTCATCCACTTGTAGAGATGAGATTTGTGCTTTTAAAGCTAATATTCTGCAGAAGGGAGAAAGAAGTAGTATGGAGTCAAAGGAGAGGTGGAGATTAGCTGTGGAGTGGAGGCTTAGTTATAAGAAAATCCTGGTCGATTGCATTTCTTATTGTGATGAAATAGTAAGTTCTCTATTTCATCAAAATAACTCATCCCAGAAATGAAATACGTCCATATTTTTTTATATTGTTATTTTTGTTGTATGTGGCTGGTTAGGAGAAGATATTGACATGACTCATGAGGGATATTGATAAAATCTTGGGTGTTAGTTTGTTCCTATATATTGAGTCAAGGGGTAGAGGTTAGAGAGAAACTTAGGCAGTGATTGATCAATGTCCAAAAGTCACCCCATAGTTGATCCGATTCTTGGTTTTGAGAGTATTCGATTATTTCAAAAAAGAAAAAAAAAGGAGTATTCGATTACAAATTTTGATGTGGAGCATTAATTTCTCAACCTTACACTCACTCACCAGCCACAACCTTCGTCTGCCTCTCTCTCTTCTTCTACCATTGGATTCTTGATTTCTTTTATTCTTCAAAAACCAATACTGATTCCGTCTTGTAAACTACATGGAGGTGTCTCTCTACATTTTATGCATTTCTGTATGCATTATTTTGCATTACAGTTTGAGAAACCCGCTGCAACCACGGGCGTTGGCAGTTCCATTTTTGTGTCAGTTTGGCCAACTTATATGGTTTATGTGTCGACTGATTCTCTTTAAAATTGAGTATGTCCAAGATAATGTCACTTCTCACAAGCCTCGTAGTTCATTTTTTCAATGGTCACTCAGATTAACTCTTGATTTTCTTTCAATATAGGTACAGATTTACACTTCAGTTTTTTCGTTGTGTACTTTACTTGGGCTCTTTTTTGTATTTTGTATTTTTTCTGTTCAAAGCTCCTACGCGAGCAAAAGCACTTGGAACTGCCGTCGCGGGTGGAGGCCTGGTGGTGGTGGTCTGTCGTGAGAGAGAGAGAGAGAGAGAGAGAGAGAGAGAGGCGTGAGGGTCAGGGAATAAAATATAAAAAGACACGAACCACCTAGGCCGCCTAAACCCTAAACAACAATGTTGATCAAAACGGAACTTATGACAAGAATCGCTCCTATAATAAGAATATCACCTTTACAAAATACAAACATAACAGAAGGTTTAAAATCAGATTTAATGCTATACAGACTCAAGCTACTTGGAGGGAAAATACTTACCAAGAAAAGAGAACAAATAGAAAGCCATTAAAAGATGGATCAGAAACACCTGGCTTGGTGTCTCTGTGTAATACAGAGATATAAGTCGCTCAGTTTGTTCAGTTTCGATCATTTGGGGAAATAATCATCACTTCCATCTATGGCTTTTTCCAATTGCAAAAACAAAAAGAACATTCAAGACTCAAAATTTGAAAAACCAAACTGAAAAAGATTTGAAATTTCAAAAGACAGAGAAAAAAAAAAGGAAGAACAGAAAACGTGGTTTTCGGTGCTTCCAAGGAGCAATATGTAAACAACAAAATTCAAAATTCAAGAGCAAGTTAGTGAGATCTGATATAAAGAATGAAGACGGATCAGAAACACCTGGCTTGGTGTCTCTGTTAATACAGAGATATAAGTCGCTCAGTTTGTTCAGCTTCGATCATTTGGGGAAATAATCATCACTTCCATCTTTTCTTTATATGGTTTTCTTCAAGAAAATTCAAAATCATTCCAACACAAAAACACGAAATTTGAAAACCCAAACTAAAAAAAGATATGAAATTTCGAACGACAAAGAAACAAAATGAAGAATAAAGAACAATGAGTTGTTGGGATTTGGGAAAGATCAGAGTTCTGGCTTGGAATTAAAAATAGCGCAAGTTTGAATCAGCTTCGATCATATGGGGAAAGTAGCATCACTTCAATCCCAAATCCCTAAAATTCAACACAAACACAAACTTAAAACGAAGCAATAGTACAAAATCGAATAATAAAGACGTAAATTTTGTCCGAATCTGCGAGAGAACCAATCATAAGAAGGCCCTCAATGATTCGCAGAAACCGAATAGCTCTGGCGTCGGCTCATACGCAGCGCCCACTCTTTTTCAGAGAGCGATGGTAATCAGTTTAATCGACGCCGAAATTCAATCCCTAACCGCTAACACTATCTATGCGAAAACACAAAGTGAAGAGTGTTGGAAGGGGGCGATTGAATTTATAGGCTCTCATGTTCCACTTGGAAACCCTAATTTCAGTAGGCTTTCTGTTCCCGCGCGCGCACGCCACCCTTTTATTTTTGTGTGTGGCCCATGTCCCATAGATAAGGCCCAGAATTTTATATGGCATTGGGTCCTGACCTCCGTGCTTTGGGACCATAGGTCACGGGCCGACATACACTATATACATATATTTCTGTGGTGGAAATTCGAAAATTAGGCTAGGTGATTAAAAAACACAAAGAGAATAAGGGCTCGTTTGATAATGATTTTAGAGGTGCTTCTCTCAAGAATTGCTTAAAATCACAAGCGATTATATAGAAAAAACGTTTCCTCCCCACAAATGATTCCGGCCATTCTAGAATCACTTTGAAACATGCCCTAAGAAAATTAGGATTAAGCTAGGTAATTGAAGTTGTTATTGGATTAGGCCGAGTGGTGAGGTTGGATGGGAAAATGTGTGTGTGTGTTAGGCTAGGTCAAGAGTTCAATCTTTTCATTGTAACAAAAGGACTATTGAAAGAAAGTAGCAAATTAGTTAAAGAATAATACAAGTCTTACCACATATTTTATACCACATGATGTGGCGGCTGATATGTACATACCACATCATGTAAAATACTAGTTTCTGTTTTTCTAATTTTATTTATTAAAATACACTTCATTCACTTATTGATATGACATATTATATGGACATGCCACATCATGTGGTATAGAAATGTGGGATAATAATGTGGTAAGTGTAGCATTACTTTATATTGTCAGAACAATTGCTTTAATTTTCCTTAAACATAGTTGTAACCAAACTAGAGTATGAAGTAGACTAATGAGCAAGGGGGAAATAGGGAGGGAAGAAGTGTGGAAGGAAATGCAGGCAGCTCTGCATTTCTCCCTCTGACACAAACAAGCCTTTCGTTGGGTCAATTATTTGCAAGCAGTTCAACACCAATCAATCTATGTAAAGTGGAGGGCTTGGTTCTCTCAAAGCAACTCAGTTTGTGCACGTTGTTTTCCAAAAGATAGGTAAGGCAAAAAGTGGAGATTAGTAAATACTAAGGAACTAATTTCTTGACGAACTTTCTCCCAATAATCATTGTTATTTTCTGGAAACAAGAGTAAAGTTTAGCCCATATTGAAAAACGTGGTCGTGCTAATAATTTAAAAGATTTTGAGTCTCTTCACCTATTATCAATTGGTTTTGAGTTGAATGCTTACATTTTAATATGGTATCTTCAGAGTACGTTATTCACGTTTTGTGCCCAATGACCATATGTATTCCCACATCACCCCATATGAACTCCCTACCCACGGTTTTTTTAGATCGTGAGTTTGAATCCCCTTATTACATCCTTCTAACATAAGTTGGAATTCAGGAGTTGGAATACATAACAACTCGTCCCACATCTTATTTACTTAAGTTTTTAGGAATAGTGTACAAACCAAAAAAATTTCTCAGCTATCATGAAGATGCCATCTTTCCCTCTCTTTCCATATTCTTACTTATGCCAACTAATGCAAGAAGACAGAAAGAAGGAAAGAATGATGCCATTAGTTTCGTGAGAGAGAAACAGCTACTTTAAAACCAGAATATCTTCTGCTAGAGATCAGATTCTTTTCTTTTGATTTTTCCTTTATATTGTATTTGGATGAATCATTCTTTTCTTTTTTTTATTTCCCTCACTTGGTGAATCTCTCTTCTTATACCTTTCTTTTCGACACATTTCATGACAAAAAAAGCAAAGATTTCTAAGCGCTTGACGAAACCAAAAGCAAGCTGCAACCATCAACAAGTCAGCTGCATACATCATAAGTAATGAATTCCTTAGCCTATAAATGCAGAAACATAAGGTGACCAAACCTCAAACTTCTTCATCTCTTTAACACTTGAAGACTTTGTCTCTTTAAAAACAATAGTTTACTCAATATGGCTTCAGGAGCAGCCATCAAACGATCCGATTCCATAGCTGAGAGCATGCCGGAAGCCCTGAGGCAGAGCCGGTACCATATGAAGAGGTGCTTTGCTAAGTACATTGAGAAAGGAAAAAGGATAATGAAGCTTCCCCATTTAATGAGTGAAATGGAGACAGTCATAGATGACAAGGTTGAAAGAAACCAAGTCTTGGAGGGAGTGCTTGGCTATATATTGTCTTCAACTCAGGTTTCTAATATACCTTCTTTTCTTTCTTTTGGGGCGTAATTAGAGTGTTGAAATTATAAATTATCGGTTTGCTGATATATTGATCTGTTTGCTTAATATTTATCCACAGGAAGCTGTTGTTATTCCTCCATTTGTTGTCTTTGCCATAAGACCAAATCCAGGGTATTGGGAATTTGTTAAAGTCAGTTCTGAGGATCTCTCAGTTGAGTCCATCACTGTCAGAGACTACTTGAAATTCAAAGAAACTTTATATGATGAGAAATGGTACATCTATTTTTAATTATTTCAGCTTTTTGTATCTCAATAAAGGTGATAAAGTACATGCATAGGTTTTTCTTACCCCAAAAAAATAAAAAAGGAAGAGGAGACAGCCTCAAAACATTTACTAGGCAAGCTATTGAAACTTTGCATCCTGTTGCTCAGGACTGGGTGATGTTAACACTTTCACATTGCAGGTCAAATGATGAAAATACACTGGAGGTGGATTTTAGAGCAATTGACTTCTCAACTCCTCACTTAACTCTATCTTCCTCTATTGGAAATGGACTCAATTTTGTTTCCAAGTTCACCAGTTCAAAGCTAGCTGGGAGATTGGAGAATGCACAGCCCCTTGTGGATTATTTACTTTCACTAAATCATGAAGGAGAAGTATGGGAATGCCAGGAATTTAATTCTGTGAAACATAAAAATTAAAATTTCATTCTAATTACAATGTCTGAAATGTATTTATGTGATTTTGAATTCACAGAGTCTTATTCTAAATGAGAACCTCAACACTGCTTCAAAGCTTCAGACGGCACTGATTGTAACAGAAGTGTACCTCTCAGCGCTTCCCAAAGACATGCCGTACCAAAATTTTGAACTAAGGTGACTCTACTTCTCATCTTCTATCTTTTGGTGGATCATGTAACTTGAAATCTGAAACCAAAGTCATTCATTTACAGGTTCAAGGAGTGGGGCTTTGAGAAGGGATGGGGAGATACCGCAGAAAGAACTAAGGAGACAATGAAACTACTTTCAGAAGTACTACAAGCTCCAGACCCATTGAACTTGGAAAGGTTTTTCAGCAGACTTCCTACAATATTCAATGTCGTAATATTCTCTCCTCATGGCTACTTTGGCCAAGCAGATGTTCTTGGCTTGCCAGACACCGGTGGGCAGGTATAAATTTAAATACTGTATCAGATAAGCTAAGTCTCTTTGGGTTGGCATTAGTTACTAAGCTGTAAGCTTTTCAATCCTGCTATTAAAAACAGGTAGTTTATATTCTGGATCAAGTGCAAGCTCTGGAAGAGGAACTGCTCCTCAGAATTAAGCAACAAGGGCTTACTGTGAAGCCTCAAATTCTTGTGGTGAGTTTCATATACAACAATAGAAAAATTCCTCATGAAGGCCGTTCGGTTACATATTAGTATTATCTAACTACATTCTTGGCTTGGATAGGTAACAAGACTCATCCCTGAAGCAAAGGGAACTAAGTGCAACCAGGAGTTGGAACCGATCAATGGCACCAAGTACTCTAACATTCTTAGGGTGCCATTTAGGACAGAAAAGGGGATCCTACGGCGCTGGGTTTCTCGTTTTGACATCTATCCCTACCTTGAATTGTTTGCACAGGCATGTTCCCTCTCAACAATTTAATCTTACATGCTTCTTTACTAATTGATTGATTTGTTTGTTTTTTTTTTTTTTTTTTTTTTTTTTTTTTTTTTTTTTTTTTTAATGTGTTGTTTTCTGTTTTTATCTCCATCTCTCTTCAAATTACTAGGATGCTTCTGCAAAAGTCCTCGACATTATGGAAGGAAAGCCAGATCTTATTATTGGAAACTATAGTGATGGGAATTTAGTGGCATCTCTCATGGCTAATAAACTAGGGATTACTCAGGTCAGTATTCATTCAGCTTATAGATACACATAACACATTTTCTCCCACTTCATATCTACTAACCTAGCACATCAAAACCAGGCAACTATTGCTCATGCTTTGGAGAAGACCAAATATGAAGATTCAGACATCAAGTGGAAGGAATTAGATCCTAAGTATCACTTCTCATGCCAATTTCTTGCTGACACAATTTCAATGAATGCCACAGATTTTGTCATAGCAAGCACATACCAGGAAATTGCAGGAAGGTTAGAGAAAACAACTATTATACCTATATATGACAGGGCTTACCAAATGAATGCATTTATAGTTTATAATGTACTTGGATCTTGTTTGCAGCAAAGACAGACCAGGACAATATGAAAGCCATACTGCATTTACACTGCCAGGGCTCTGTAGAGTTGTTTCAGGCATCAATGTATTTGATCCCAAATTTAACATTGCTGCACCGGGGGCCGATCAGTCTGTCTATTTCCCCTATACAGAGAAGCAGAAACGGCTCACATCATTTCATCCTGCCATCGAAGAACTGCTGTATAGTAAAGAGGATAACAGTGAACATATGTAAGTGCTGGAATAACAAATCATTCTTTTTAGACTTCAAATGAAGATCACTAGTAATCTAACATCTATCTAAACCATTTTGAAACAGAGGATTTCTAGCAGACAGGAAGAAACCTATCATCTTCTCAATGGCAAGGCTTGACACTGTCAAAAACATTACTGGTTTGGTTGAGTGGTATGGGAAAAACAAGAGGCTGAGAAATTTGGTTAACCTTGCTGTAGTTGGGGGGTTCTTTGACCCTTCAAAATCAAAAGATAGAGAAGAAATTGCAGAAATAAAAAAGATGCATACACTGATAGAAAAGTACCAGCTTAGGGGCCAGATCAGATGGATAGCTGCACAGACTGATAGGAACCGAAATGGAGAACTCTACCGTTGTATTGCTGACACAAGGGGAGCTTTTGTGCAACCTGCCCTCTATGAAGCTTTTGGTCTTACTGTCATAGAGGCAATGAACTGTGGACTGCCCACCTTTGCAACCAACCAAGGAGGCCCAGCTGAAATCATTGTGGATGGGATCTCCGGTTTCCATATTGATCCCAACAATGGTGATGAAGCAAGCAACAAAATCGCTGATTTCTTCGAGAAGTGCAAGACTGATGCTACATACTGGGACAGGTTTTCGAAAGCAGGTTTGCAGCGAATATACGAATGGTAAGTACACATGAATCCCTACTTGTTTGGTTGAGTTCATTCATATTGACGTGTGCAGTATCAGAAAACCAACATCATCTCCTATGGTTTTTAAAACAAGTTATCTTAATTTTGTAGCTACACTTGGAAGATATATGCAAACAAGGTGTTGAACATGGGGAACACTTATACTTTCTGGAGGCAGTTGAACAAAGAGCAGAAACAAGCTAAGCAAAGATACATCCAGATGTTCTTTAATCTCCAGTATCGGAACTTGGTATGCTATTATGCTCATATAATACAATGCATCTCATATTTATTCTCATTTTATTATGTTCAAGATTTAGAGACGTATTTCCATTGGCATTTTTGCAGGTGAAGAATGTGCCTATCCCAAGTGATGAGGCTGAACAACCAGTGCCAAAGCCAACTGCCAAATCACAGTCCATACCAAGGCATGTTAATCTAAACTAAAAGCAAAGTAGTGGAAGACTTTGAACATGATCACATAATATAATTTTGCATATGTTAATATTACCTCTTGGGGCACTAATAACATATATTGTTCATAATTGATGTGCAGCACAAGACGCTCACAGTCTCGATTGCAAAGGTAAAGAGTAAGATCCTTACAATTGTCTTGTTTTCTATCTTTCTTTCCACTAAAGCCACATGACAACTCAAAAAAATTCTACCATATATACTTTCAGGATGTTTGGAGCCTAAATTAAGGTCAAACAAGGGAGCCGGATTGAGATTGCAATTTGAGCTGCCCAGCAGCGTTTCCAACAACATTCCATATTATACATTTACAAAGAAGAATAATTGTTGTGTGATCAATAAAAGATGAAGATTTGTTTGTATGTAATACCAAAATTACAGTTTGTGAGGTTTTCAATTTAATATTTGCAAGGGTGGCTCCCTGTAGACCCCCTTATTTGCTTCATGATCCTCTACTCACTACACCCCTCTTGGCAAAAAAAATTTCAGGGACATTGCTCAATGATGTGTGCCATTTTGCACCCTATTGGATACTTCTTGGCTCATTCTCTAAAGGAAACATTCTCTTTTCTCCAAATCATAATTTGATGTATATGCAAAAATAATTCACAAAAACGTGAGAGAAAAAAATCTCTCCACCCAACATCCAACTCCGAACTGCAAAGACATCACAAATCATCATAACTCTACCAAAAAATAAAAAACGTAAACATAAACAGTCAATGAAACAATTGTCCACTACATGTTATTGGTGTGAAGAGTAAATCATCATAGTTTGATGTACATAAACATGTTACATACTTGAAATGGTACATATAATTGTTTCATTAATGAGTAAATGGTCTTATCGTTTTGAACCCAAGTTCATTGGTGTGAAGAGAGAGGTGTCACCATCCCAAACCCAACCGAATTATAAATAAAGCAAAATAGAAAACGAGTACGAAAAATGGAAGGCAGAGAAGAGAATGAGGAATCCAGCCGATCAAAGGGTGTTGTTTGGTTTCGAGAGAGAGAGCGTGCCTAAGAATAAACATATGATATGACTTGGGAGTGACTGAGTGGTAGGACTAGGTCGAGATTTAGCAAGTAGAAGACCGGTGGTTGCGCGCTTGCGCTCGTGCAAAACAACGAAAAACCAACCAAAACGCAACACACATGAATGAGATCGCATCCTTCCTTCCATTTTCTTCTCCTAACAATCTTGTACACCAAATTACGCAGCAACTACCCCAAAAAACAAAGAAAAATAATAATTAAAAAATCAAAAAAATATCGAAAAAGAAAAAAAGAAGAAAGGAAGGTAAGTGTCAATTTCAGATTAACAAATGAAACAAAGCAGGCATTTTGTTCCTTCCATGACTCGAAATTTGTAGTAAGAGAAAGAAAGTTCCCAAATTTTCAAAAGGGTTCTTTTGCTTTGGCTCAATTGATCTATCACGTTAACAATTTTTCTGTTGTTTTCTGTGTGTGAGTAGTGGGAGTTGTGGCATTGTAGAGGAAGGGGATCGTGGAGATGGATAAATTAGGATCAATGACCAAAGAAGGAGCCTCATCTTCCTCTACCAAAAGGAAGTCCAGAAGACCCAAATGTTCGAACCTTTCTAACTTCCTTTTTGTTTCATTTTTCCTTTTTAGCATAAATGCATGGCTTCTTTTTTTTTTAAATACAAATGTATTTTGGTTTCTGCTTTTTTTCAATTGCTCTGCTTTCTGTTGTTTACGGTTTTTTCTTGAAATTCCATTGTTGTTTTTTTTAAAAACATTTATTTGGATGCTTCATTGTGGTTGTTACATTTTCTTTCAAGGAAACTTCATATGCTTTATTGGGTAATCCAATTGGTTTATGCAGAAACTCCAGCATTTTCTTGTAGGAACATAGCCAACATATTTTCTATGTATTTATCAAAACATGGTTGTTGGTCCTTGAATAAGAATTTGATTTTGAGGGCCCCATTGTAACCCCATTTGTTGACAGTTTAGTTTTCTTTTATTTTCTCCTAACATTGGATTTGGATTGTCAATCTGCAGTCTGAATGGTTCAATTCAATGCTTTTCTAATGGTGTTACAGCATTATTCTAACAAAAGTCATATGCTTGGTGCATTCTGATATATATTCCAGATTCCAAGTTCACACAGCAAGAGCTTTCAGCTTGCAAACCAATTTTAACACCAGGATGGGTAAAGTATATGTGTTGTGCTGAATTTTTCTTGTCAATTATAGGTTTTGCTTCAATTTGGACACTTTACATTTTTCTTGTTTAAATATGTTTTTTTTTCAGGTCATTTCTATATTTGTCACAATCGGCATTGTCTTTATCCCTATTGGCTTTGCTTCCTTATTTGCATCAGAGCGTGTAATATATCTCATTGTCCTTTATGTAGTGCTTATTGTGAAGTTCAATCAATGGCCGCTGTTAAATTTTACCATGAAACTAAAATTTGCTTTCTTTTACATGCAGGTGGTGGAAATTATAGACCACTATGACAAAGATTGTGTTCCTCTTAGATATACGGATGATAAGCTTGCATTTATTCAGAGTAGTAAAACTAACAAGACCTGTATTAGGAGACTAACTGTAAGTCCAATCCTCTGCTACTGCTATATATAATAAAGTTCAGGCTTAATTTTTCATAGTCTCTCTCTACTCTCTAGGTTGGGAATATATAATTATGATAATCTACATTTACTGGAGGTTTTTCAGGTTCCAAAACAAATGAAATCTCCCGTTTACATCTACTACCAGCTTGATCATTTCTATCAGAATCATCGCCGGTATGTAAAATTCTTCTTGTCATGTATCATTTCTTTAGAGTATGTGGAGTGGACATGGCTGCTTGATTTAAGAAGTTCATGGAAGAGGCGTAGTTTCTGTTTGATAAACTGGGCCAAAGAGAGAAAAAACGAACAATATCACGAGCTTTAAACTATCGTCAGCGTAAGCTGGGAAGCCTGGGACTTTAAAGCTTTTGAGAAATCTTAGTGTCTAGAGATCCTGCAAGCAATTATTACTTGCAGGATGAACTAGAATTGTCCACCACAGCAATACATCAATGAAAGCTAAACAGTAAAGCACACAATAAACTTTCTAACAACAAGCAGAATCCAGATTCCAAATAAATAAGTGCTTCACTGGTTTCAATATTTGATTGAACCTTTAAGTAAGTGCTTCAATGGTTTCCTATTTCAAACAGTCTTACAGATGAAGACTCCTAGATTGAGTTAAGAGGAACAGAGCCTTAGGCTCAAGAAGAGTGATGTTCTGCTGACTTCGGCCAGCTTAGAGAAACCTGCCTCTGTTTCCTATCGGGAAAAAGAGAAATGACAGCTTAGAGAAACCTGCCTACATTTGCTTAGGTGTGGGATTCACGGTTGGAAACAGCTAGAGCTTTGGATGTTGTGATGATGAAATAAGAGAGTTTATTAGTAATGGAATGAAAGATTATTTAAGACAGGTGAAAATTGCAGAAAACTGAAAATTATATCTTCTTGATATTGTGATAGCAAATAACTTTCTTATCAAAAGCATCTGTTTAAAGGGCTATTAGAGGGCCAGAGCACATTGAAATACTCATAGTAAGAAAGGTAAAAGATTGTGGCTGAGAAGAGATAAGATTTAAAGCAGGAGTATTTGGGTACATTAATGGTGACCTATGGAGTTTACGTAATATTCTGAATCTGAATAGAAGTATTTGAGTTAGGACAATGTATGAAACCTTGTTTCTTTTGGCCAGTACAGTGTAGCAAACATCTGAAAAGTAAAAAAATAGTTACCTTCTCACTTTATATGGCTTTTCTTCAAGAGAAAATTAAAATTTTGGAAATTGTTTTTCTGTTAGATGAAGTTCACTGAATGCTCTATGCATCCTTCAGGAAGATTTGATTGGAACTTGAAAATGCCACATTACAAATTGCCATCCCCTCTTGTAATTCTGAATTTCTAGATACTGCGACCCTGTTTCTTATTGTGAAATATTGTTTCCAGATATGTTAAAAGTAGAAGTGACAGTCAGTTGCGGAGCAAGTCTGATGAGAATAAAACAAGCACCTGTGCTCCTGAACGCAATTCACCAAATGGTACAATTGTTCCCTGTGGTCTGATTGCATGGAGTTTGTTTAATGACACATACAAGTTTTCAGTGAAAAACAAACAACTGGGGGTCAACAAAAAGGACATCACATGGAAAAGTGACCAGGGGAATAAGTTCGGCTCGGATGTCTATCCTAAAAATTTCCAGAGTGGGGGTTTGATTGGAGGAGCAAAACTGAATTCTAGCATACCTGTAAATCTTCGCACCTATCTGTCTTGTTGTGTCTCTACAGTTTACTTCGTTTATTGCTTTAAGTTAATATTGTTCTCTGGTTCTGCATGCAAAAGCTGAGTGAACAAGAAGATCTTATTGTTTGGATGCGGACTGCAGCACTGCCAACGTTCAGAAAACTATATGGGAGGATAGAAGTGGACCTTGAAGCTAATGATGTAGTAATTGTAACAATAGAGAATAATTATAACACCTACAGCTTCGGTGGCAACAAGAAGCTTGTACTTTCAACCGCAAGCTGGATTGGTGGAAAGAATTATCTGCTAGGCGTAGCATACCTTACTGTTGGCGGACTCTGTTTGTTCTTGGCCATAAGCTTCATACTTCTATATTTGATAAAGCCAAGGTACGTGAATTGGTTCATAAGTCTGCAGCACTATGATCAGTTAAAACTTTGGTTTGCTTTTCAAAGGTCAGATTGTACAATAAAAACAATAATTGGGATAAAGCTGTTGTCCTTGAATTATGTAAGTGCTTAAGTATATGGTAAATTACTAAATTTTGTATTTAAAATGGGTGTCGGATGCCAAAAATTTAGGCAAACCCCGTCCAGATCTATTCCTGATGAGCCTTACAAACTAAATATGCAAGTCTAAACATTAAGTTGGTTGACAAGGTCCTATCATTTAGCCACTTCAGGATCACATTGACAGTAAATTTACACTGGTCTTTTTGCTGAAAAGAACCACTTCCTCTAGGCAATCGGTATTTAAAAATTGGAAGTAGAAAGTGAAATATGCTTTAACTAGTGAGTAGTTGATTTCTGGATAATCGAGCACAATCGGGTGTGCTGTTTCAATGTTCCAAGCTATTAGTGAGATGTGCTTGAAATTTCTTTTGCATTTTTGTGCAGGCCTCTTGGGGATACATCCTACTTGTCTTGGAACAGAAGTGCATCAGGAGGACATATATTTATTAGCTAGGAGTATCCACTAGTACAAGGTTTTTCTGGACAATCTCTTTTGTCATCAGTGATAGGACCAGATCGAGATTTATATCTGTTTCAAAAAACATCCTTTTTTTTTTTTTTTTTTTTTTTTTTTTTTTTTTTTGGTGGTTGGGGGGGGGGGGGGGGGGGTTTTTTTTTTTTTTTTATTGATGTTAAAAGCACCCAGGCTTGATCAGTAAGTGTATATATTTCATTACAGTTGTTGATATCAGGAACTTTTCAAGAAGGAATGGCCTTGCATACATTTTGATTTTGGATTTGCGTTTTACTAGGGCAGGTTTCTCTTTTAGCTTTTAATTATGAACTTTTCAAAAGGAATGGTATTGTACATGGGGTGGCACCACGGCGGAAAAGTGAGCCAAACTCTCCCTCTACCCCATGCCACCAGTGGCCCACTAGATTGGTCAATTTAAAAGTCTCTTAATATGGGCAGAGAGGAATGAAATAAAAAACTTTAAAATAAAAAAGAAAAACAAAAAAAAACAAAAAAAAAAAAAAAAAAAATAATTTAGCCTTGTCAAATTGAAATCATTTTTTTAGTATTTTCAATTGTTGCAAGATGAAGATTCATGAGGATTGATGCTGCTCTGTCAAGTATATTTTCCGTGAACAAAATTGTGCCGTGGATGCTCTGGTTGCGCAGTGTTATGATTTTGGTACTGGTCTCCATGTGTTTTTAGAGGCTCCGACTTTTCTTAGTGCTACATTAGTTGTTGATGTTCAAGGTGTTGCTAGACCACATCTAGTTTCTATTTAGTTTCTTTTTGGTTTGGGGCTTTAGGCTCTGTACCCCAAATTTTTATTTTTTTTATTTTTTTCAAATTTGCAATAGCCCTCTGTGAGGTTATTTTGGGGGTTTTTTCGTTTCGGCAGCTACATATGGGCCTAGGCTGTTATAAAGAACAAATGGGTGGACTTGTCCCCGTGTTTGAGCTTAAGAATTAGACCCCAAGAGTGCTTCAAAAGGGTTGTGGAGCCTTAGGAAACAATTTGGTCTCCTTCACTAACAAAATCAACAATTGCTTACAGATAAATATATGAAAAGTTTGTGGCATAGAAGCTAAGCATTCATGAGTTTAGCATCAAAGAGAGAGAAGGCTTGGATTTCCTATGAGAAACAGGGGTTCAAAGTAAGGAGAAGGAATTTCCAGAGAATTTGTTGAGGGGAGAGGGGAAGATATGAGGAAGGAGAAATGGGTGGTTTGAACAATTTTCAGGCAGCTTGATGAAAACTTCGTCAGGCTCTGGAATGGCTTGCCATAAGAGAAAATGGGAAGAAATGGAGGAATATGGCTCGAAATTAAAGGGTTCCAGGGATGAAAGGTGATGCTTGCTCCCTCTCTAGATGTGATTTTTAGATGATAGGTAAGAGATGCCCTCTTTTATAGGCGTTGGAAGCTCTTTCTTCCCAAGGAACCTTAGTTGGTTATTCCCAAGAAATCCTAGTTGGTTCTCTCCAATTTTGCCAAGTCTTCTCCTCCATTTCTCTTCTCTTCCTTCGGTTCAACCTCTTTTTATGAAACCCCTCCAATCCAAATACACAAAGACAAAAATTTTGGGAGCTCTGGAGTCCATATGGCAATCTCCTATCTTTGGTTACCATCTTTCTTTCTTTCCCCCATTATTTCATGGCAAGAGATGTATGAGAAAGAAATGGGTAATGGTGTTGGTCTGAATGGTGTTTTGCTCAAGTATCCTTGCGCACGCAAATACCCTTTGGTTTTTCGAATGGTCTGTCTTTGATTTGTCTTTGGCCATGTGCTGGAGACTCCCAGCAGCCTGCACATGCAAGTACCCCTTAGTTTTTTTGTCGTGGTAAAGTCTCTAGCCATATGCTGGAGACTTTCATATATTTTCTAAGTCACTTGGGCCATTCCCTAAGGTGATGGGCTAGTTTACTAAGGGGATGGGCCAACTTCTAAAGTGATGGACTATTTTACTATTGTGATGGGCCAACTTTCTAAGGTAATGGACTACATTATTCTCTTTTTAATGTTTACCCACATATTTGGGCTCAAGAAATGGGCTCGAGTTTTGGGGCTCCCAAGCAGCCCAAAACTTTCACTTCTTGGCTCATCAATGGGCCTTGTGAATGCTCGTAACCATCCATACCACAACTTGCTCAGCAAGCTCCAAGCATTTGCGTGGCTTGGGCCCACTTAATCTTGTAGCATGGCTAGGTGTAAAATTGAGAGTTTTCCGCTTGGCATGGCATGTCAATTGGCATGCTCGTGCTCGAATTTCATTGTATTGTAAAGGGCTATGTAGCATGGGTTCATAGAGCCAATGCATTTTATAGGCTTGCTACAACTCTTAGCGTGATAGGTTACATATTTGTTTGGCGTGGCACGTGGATCGTGACTCGTGCGAGCGTGTATGACGAACTTTCGTGTGCCCAAATTGGGTTTCTTCTCAATAAAGTATCACATTGAGCCGAGAATATATTTGAGCATAGCCTTTGATTTTTTGGGCCTCAACAGTTATCTTGTATTGTCCTTTCATCAATGAAATTGCTGCAGCTATAAAAAGCAAAAAAAAAGGGAAAAATAGAGCCTTCGCTAAGCAATTTAACTCCCCAAAAACATAGAAGGAAAAACTTGAGTGGCCATTGGAATAGAAAAATGTGACAATAGTTGTAGTTATCCACAAGCTGGTATTGTTGGCTCCATTGCTATGGAAATGTCCCTATCACACATTTCAGAAGTAATGTGCACAACTCCTTCATCCTGCATGTTCAGATCAGATGTAATAAATTATATATACCAAAAAAATTATTTTATTTTCTTTTATGCGATTTTATTTATTTATTAATTAGCACTTGATATGATGATTTAATACCTTTGCAATATTTCTGAAGTATGTTGTTGTATAATTTCCGGTAGGGAAGAATACTTCAAAAAGATCTGCTAAAACCAGTTGTGGCTGGGAGACTGCTCCATTATACCAGTCTTCACATGGAAATTGCACAAAAGGAGGGAGGGAGAGAGAGAGAGAGATATGCCAATTACGCACAATTTTCCAGTACAAAATAATAACCAAGTAAAATGTAAAGCAACTGTATTTTGATTGCCTAAGACTAAATTTTAATTCTATTTCACTTCAATAAATAAATAAAACAACATTAGCGAAAGAGGTCTAGTCCGGTGGAAAAGGGTTTTGACTTACATATCAGTGGTCTCAGGTTCGAACCCACCTTAGCAATGTGTGTGTGAGAAACCCCCCATTCATTTGTAGTTTAGACTATCGCTTGTATTAAAAAAAAGCAAAAACAAAGGAAAAAGAAAATGTAGTGAGATGCAACACTTACCAAGAGCAGTTGAGTTTTGAATTCTTTTATCGTATCTCCACAAGCTTTGGTTAGAGATAAAAACAAAACAAGAATGATCTTCCACATTTATATTTTGGAGAAACGTTGATGAATTGTAATTAACTGCATCTGAAGTGTATGTTTCGTCAATCACCACATCCACGGTCTATATGAACAAAGAAAATTAACATTAATCTCGTAATTAAGCTACATAATTTATTTATACGCATATATATATATATATATATATATATATGTGTGTGTGTTTCAACTCACACATAGGATGGCATGCAGTTGATCCAAATCGTCCGGACTAGAGATGTTGTAGGTAATCTTGTTGATAGAATCATCCACATTCTCACCACCTGCGTCTTCCACATACTGCAAGTTCCAAGTTTAAAGAGCAAATGTCGGTTAAAATTAAACTTCTAGTTAAGAAATTAAAAATAGGTTTAATTGCATTTTACTACTCCAAAAGCTAAATTTAGGTCATATCAAGCCTCCATCTAACAATCTGTGAAAATTGAGTATCGGATTGTTAGATAGAGGAGGGTTGATATTGTGCCAAATTCATACGTCGGGTCTTTTTAAAATTAAGATCTAAATGCGCCAAAGTTGGTAAACTTAGGAAGGGTAAAATGCAGATAACCCTAACAAAATTTAGCTAATTAAAAAGTTTCTTTAAGGGCTTCCTACACATTCACAAAAATGATAATTGACAGGAAAATTACAGAAATTACTGATATCTTGTGCTTACCTTCAACTTGTATGTTTCCTTTGTAAAAGACCATATACCCTGAAAAAGGAAATCTAATTAACTAATAAGTCATATAGATGAAGTAATTATTGTGGATTTACTGGTGAATTATTATTATTTTGGACCAATTGAGTGAATTTACCACAGCTTGACTGTCTCATAAACACAATTACCCTTCTCATTTAAAATTTAATTATTATGCAATTATGAAAATTCCCTACTTGATGTAATAACCCTCTCATGCTAAAGTTTTTTTTACCAACATTTTCATACTGTATCCATGCAACTGTTGGTTTGAATGAAGTCCTGCCTTTCGTAAGGTTGGTCAAACATTGATAACTCTGTGTAACCTGCATAATAAAATATGAATATTAGTGCAACAAATGTTTCATACTTGCTCTGTTTTCAATATTTTATTTAATTTTTCTTAGTTGTCTCATACTTACTGCATCATATACTTGATTTGCTCTGCTCTCAACGTTTGCGAACACTCCCAAGAACTTGATCCACTCTGCTCTCTATCAAAATATAGGAATGAATCAGATTTAGTATTTAACCTTGTTTTTTTTTCTTGGCCAAAATGAAGCATAAAAATCAAAGTAGGTAGCTAGTGATTACCATATATTAACAAACAAATTATCCAAACTCTGGACGGTTCAAATCATTGAAATACAATGTGTGATGGGGGCCCTACAAGGGTATCCCTCAATTAAGTGTTTGACGGATCTCTCAACTAAAGCTCTCTCTATATATACACAAGGAGGAATTTGAACTTATAGACTAATATATAGCTAGGGGTTGCTAATAAGAATAACTTCACCTTTTCAGGAAAAATTGTGTACATCATTTGGTTACCTGCAAAGGGTTATCCTCTCCATAAGGAACAAAAGAGGCAAAATTGCAAGCTTGT